GGGTTCAGCCCGCGCTCGCTGCCGCCGCCGCGGCACCCCCTCTGCAGCGCCGCTGCGCGCTTGGCACCGGCTCTGCGGTTCTGTCGTCGCCACGAGGCCCCGCTCGCCCGCACGGAGCCTTTCAGGGCTTCCCGCGCCGTAGCCGCAGCAGCCGAGCGGGAGGCGGCCTGCGAGGCGCCTTCCCAGGGGAGGCCGAGCTCTGGGCCTGCAGCTCCCGCGGGGAGTTTCACCCTGCAAGTGCTTGGGACCTCTGAGCGGAAGGTCCTTCCCGGAGGAAGGACGGATGCAGCTTGTGTTCGTATCTGTTCCTGATGTTGCCACCGTTAAAAAGAAAACAAACAAACAGAACACACCCTATTCCTAGAGTGACCACTCTTGCTTATGTCGATTGACAGCTATAAAATATAATTAACTTTAGTTGCTGCAATTAGGGATATCCAAGGCTTCTCACTTGTGTATTACGTAAAGGAAGCAAAGGAACATGGGGGCTGGAAATAGCAATTTACCCCTGGAGCTGCCACCTCACTGTTTTCTGGGCCCTACCAGTGCATTTCGGCTGGATCCTGGAAGATCTTGGTGATAGGGATTGACTTCTGCCGGCTTTAAAATATTTGTCTAGAGTTCTTGCTGCCTTCCCTTCAGTAAAGCCTCTTCTCCTTTATTTTGCTTCCATTTAATAACGATTTGTCTTAGCCAGGAGGACCTGAGCATTGCAGTGGATGAGGGCCATGTAATGAGGAGCGTGTTGGGAAGTAGTAACCATCACTGTTAGCAGTTTGCAATGTCGTAGCGACTGACAGGTGATCCTTTAAACTCATCTTCCATTTCCTTCCTTCACAAAAAAAATTCCTTCTGAAGTGTTGTCAAGCAGAGGTTCTTTTCTGTATGAGTCTATATAATTAACAGGAGTAGAAAATACGGTTAATTGAAATCTTAGGGTTTTTCATATTTCAAATGCTTTTTTTATATATATCATTCTGCTAAACATGCCTATTTGTCTGTCTTTTAAGAGTAGATTTATTATTGTTAGCTGGACCGAAAACCTGACCTGTATGAAGCTATTCAATGCTTTAATATTAAGCAAGGGAATTGTTAACATTTCAGCCTTTGCTGAGCTTGTCGTAATCCTTTATCAAATAACATGAATTCCAATGCCACAGCCCTTGCCAGTTCCAATGCCGGAGAAATTCTGAGTACTTGAAAGCATCACAAGCATCTGTCCCCTCTCCTTATCTTTCTTTTGTGCTTGTTACCTTTTAAGATAAGTGGATAGCTTAGGACTGAAAGCATCTTTTATTCCTCTTTCCCCCGGGTTAAAACACGTGGCTTTTCCCTTTAAGTAGAGCTCCAGGCCAGCCAGATTGGCCCAGATTGGTTCTTCCTTTTCCGTCAGAAAAGGCTTCAAGTGACTGAGCACTCCAGTGAAGTCAGACCTGCCCCAGCTGCCTTGCTCTGAGGCTCTTTGGCTGATTCAGCACTTGAGCACAGCAGCAGCTCCAGGTCTCCGGGGGCAGCAGGCAGCATGTGAGCAGTTTGAGAAGGCAGAGGGGTGGCAACCAAGTCTCCTCCAAGGAAGAGCCCTCCTGGGGACGTTTTGCAGACAGGGCTCTGACCTCATGGCTATGCAAGGCTGCCTTTCACAGAGCTGCTTTTGGCAAATAGAGTTGAAAGACTGGTAGGACTAGGCTTATGCCAGAAACTGCTGCCCAGCACTGGTTTAGAGTCTTTCTCACAACTTGAATGTGTGTAATTGTAACCAGGTGCCCAGAGTATTGTAACTAGAGCTGCACCAGCCTGCAGAGAGGTTTATATCTCATTCACCACTGCAGAGTGTCAGTACTTGCACATAGGCCTTAATTTCATGGACACTTCAGATTGTCATACACCAGGTCCTCTGCCTGCTTAGCCCTGTGCTGCTCTTGCCCTGTGCCAACCTGAATGTTCACACAGCCACAGGGGGAGATGAACTGGGGCAGTGAGGCAGGTCACAACCAACCAGCCTCTCCCTGCTCTCCCAAAGAAAGTTCCTAGTTGTAAGGGAGGAAGGCAGTGGAAACACGGTGGACAGTTTTGCTTCTTTCAGAAATAGTGTTGGTTTATTCCATCTTATTCCAACTATATGTTGTTGTGACCTGAGAGAGTATGTTGAGAAACAATTCATGTGTCTCCTGCTAACCCTAATGCTGCTGAGCCTGGTGTTGGAACAGAAGTGGCAAAGTGCTAGAACTTCAGAATTTGTTCTACAAGGGTTTCCAAAAATTACCTCTCATCAGAGAACTCTGGTGAGCTGTTCCATCACTGCCCCTCAGTTTCTCCTATAAATTACAGAAGAGAATAGTCATCTACCCTACAGGATCATGAGGAATAGCTAATATTTGGAACATGTTTTCAAAGGTGTGAAGTGTTGAGTGCTAAATATTACAGTCCCTGTAATGGAGATCAATAATTACCAGAATGTTTTGTAATAATGAGGCTATACTGTGGAAATGGACAAAACAGGACCGATTTTTTTCTCATTACTATAAATTGCTTTTTAGGAATGAAAAACATCTCTCATGAACCCAAAGTGTTTTAAAACCAATAGCCACCTTTTGACTCTTCTGTTGCATACAGACCCAGCTCTGTTAACAACGTGCTTTGCTCTGGTTGTTTAGATGGTAGTTCTGTGATACTATTGACATTTTCCCAAGACTCCCTGGTGGCACTGTTTCTTGCAGATGCTCTTTTTGAATGACTGTTGTATTTCTTCTCTGTTCCTTCACCAGATCTGTTTTCTTCTGCCAGGTGTTCAGATCACAGCTCAGTATCTCTTCAGTCAGTGATCAAGATGCCTACAGAGCAGGGTTACAGCCAGTTAGCCAGTGGAAAGCCTATGGCCTCAAGGGCTATCCAGGTAAGTACCTCTGATTTCAAGAAAAACATAGCCTTGTTGCTTCTGATTCAGGGGCATTCCCCTCTTACGCTCCTTGCCTTTCCTGAAAAATCTGTTTTGATTTGCCTAAACATGATATAATGTTAGTTAGTTTAAGTGGAGAAGGACAAATGAGTCATCTCAGGGCTGGGATGCAGCAGTGTATGAAGGTCAGAACAGAAGGACCAGTAGTTTTATGGTCTCCATCAAGCACATCTTCCCTTGGGAGAATGGATCCCTGTTGCCATTAACTTTGATGCAGATTTTGCATTTCTGTAGCATCCCTTTTTCATCAAAATATGTTATGATCATTAAACAGATGACTGAAATCTAGTAATTTCAGGGCTGCAATGTGGCACTTTCACTAGTGTAGAGCAGCTAGTACGATAAGTGACTAGGACCCCCTCAACTTATTCCAAGTACAGAATAATTTCATAAGGCAGATTATTTCAAAACAGAAATGCATATTAGGTTTTCAGTTCACTTGAAAGAATCTCAGAAAGATTTTAGGTTGGAAGGTACCTCCAGAGGTCTCTAGTCCAACTCTCGGGTAAAGGAGGGCCAACCTGAGAGTTAAATCAGGGTGCTCAGAGGTTGAATTTTGGAAATCTCCAAGGACAGAGATTACCAACATCTCTTGGCACTTGTTTCAGTGTCTGGCTACTCTCATTCCCTTTATATTTAATCAGAATTGCCTTGCTGCAACTCACATCTGTTGCTTGACATGCTCTTGCTGTGCCCTGTGAGAAGAATGTGGCTCCATTTTCTCTTTAATTCACTTTTAGATTGCTCTTCTTAATGCAGCCCAACATGCCAGCCTCCACTGCCCACAAGACTGTACCACTGACTCGTGCTCAATTTGTCCTCCAGGACCCCCTGATCCCTTGCTTTAGAGCTGCTCCCTCGTCTGTCAGTCCTCAGCCTGTGCTGTGGATGGGGTTATTCTTCCCAGGTGCAGGATTTTCTCTGTTGGCCCTCGTGAGGTTCTTTTTGGCCCGTTCTTTCAGCATATCAAGCTGTCTTTAGTGGCAATTCTACCTTCCAGTTTGGCGAGATCTGTAAATGTGATGAGGGGGAACGTCCCATCATCCAGGTTGCTGATGGAGATGTTAAAGCAGCTGTCAGTATCAGAGAGATGTCACTCAGACCCAGCCACTGGTTAGACTTTGAATCATCAGTGGCTACCTTTTGAGCTTTTGTCTGCTTTGACATAGAAAACATTTCACTAAAATGAAATGCAAATACATTAACAAATCCTCAGTCCTGTTCACAAGTGAGCCCTGTGTGGGTCAAGAATACCAGCAATTTGTCCTTTTCCAGGAGCCTTTATCTGAGCATCTTAAAGCACTTTAAGGTGTTCAAGTAAAGGGTCTCTTAAGATCAGTTAGAAGGGTCCTTAGTATGTTTGTGGGTAAATGGAAGTGAGGTCACCTTTCGCTGACCCTGCTGTGAGTACAGTGAAACATAAGATTAAAGAAACTAGGTGAATTTCTCTTGCAGTGTCCTGTGTTGTGAGAGGAGTGGGAGTTGCTGACTTTAGGGCTTTGCGATTTCTGCAAGTAGGTTTTCTGAATGGGTTGTTCTTGTTGATAGACATGTGCAGATCTTATCTTTTTTGTTTACTGAGGGCTGGAGATTATTTTCACAAATCGTAGGTAAATTAACAGTGTGCTGTAAGATTTTGCTGCAATATGAAAATTGCGTCTGTTTCCTTAAGGCTGAGGGACAAATAATCTTTTTCTCATATAATCTTTTGCTCATTCTACTCAGATCAACGCTTCCAAGGCTGAGAGGCTCAACTGTCTTCAAAGCTTGTGTGTGGTGCTCTTTAGCCAGCTTAGATTCCTACAGAAATGTACTTCTTGCTCTTCTCTCTCCCATGGGTGACCAAGTCCCTGCCTTGTGGCACTATTAGCACTCTTGGGAACTATGACAGCCTTGGCTGCTAGTGTAGCTCACTGGTTTGGCTCGCTAGTGCAATGTAGGCCTTTCGGCCATCTTTGGCATCAAAAGCACAGAGGGCACCTGCTTCTTACTTGCCCACCCAGTTATAAACACACACTAAATCTGTTTCCTAGGAGTGACTGAAAAGAATTGGAGAAGTGATTGTGTTCTAAGCTTTTGATATGAGAGTCAGCTTGGATTCCTCTTCTCATTTGTGGGTATAACTAGCCCTCTAGGCTTCAGTTTCTCCAGTAGTATCTCAAAATAATCTAGGTGTAGTAAAGCATGCAGGTGGACTGCAACATAGCTCACATGGCAGTAGAGTGCTCTGAGAACCCAACCTGAAAAGTTGTAGACAGGAAGGGCAGTGTTGTTACTCTGTTCCATACAGAAACCAGCAAAAGTAAATGTAGTGCTTTTGGCAAACATATTAATATTTCTAATCCATCCCAAATGTTACCATGCCTAATCCATACTTAAGGTTTCTAATCCATACCTAATCATACTTTCTCCTCTCTCTCTCTCTCTTTTTTTTTTTTTTTTTCTCTAATCTTCCTCCACTCTTTTTGTCTGTGGTCAGGGTTTATTTTCATACCAAACCCTTTCCTTCCGGGCTGCCAGCGTCACTGGGTGAAACAGTGTCTCAAGCTGTACCCCCAAAAGCCCAATGTCTGCAACCTGGACCTGCACATGGCTCCTGAGGAGACCATTGATCTGTGGGGGCAGAGCAAGGAGCAGTTGAGGTGAGTCCTGCTTCTCAGAATAACCTCTCAGAGTACAAATTAACAGAAGCAAATGTCCTCAGCTCTGAGAAGACTTAAGAAAAATCATCAGAGTAGGGGGAGCCGAGAAAGGTTGTGTATATGTGGTCGCTGTATCCAGGTGATATCTGTTTTTATCTACAGTATTAACGTGTCCTTCACAAAGTGCACATGTGGACACTCTGTGCCTTCCCTCTACATGTTCAGATAGAGCAAGAAACCACTTTGTGCTCTGATCAGTTGTAGAGATTTATTGCATGAGGACATGATGAGAACAGATGCATTATCACAGGTTAGTAATGTTCTGCTTGCCAGTAACTGAATGTGCAAGTGGCTACCAAGTAAGGTGCATGTGCTGTACATCACCTTTATGATTACTGCAGCTCTGGTAAGAAAACAGAAGCTGAATAAGCTATCACAAGCAATCTTGTGATTACTGTTTCTTTTTCCACAGAGCTAATATCTTAGTTTAACCTTTCCTGGTAATTGAGCATCATTGCACATCCAGGCTGAAAGTTGTGATTAAATGTAACATTTTAATGGCAATCCTCTTTACTCTGAAAAAGAGAACCTGACCCACAGAGTTCTGTGGGGGGCACAGCTGCCTTTTCTGTACCTAGGTGATCTGAAGGTACATAGAGAATTAAATGGAGAATTTGTCCAAGTTTTAAAGCTCTTTTATTTGCCTGTTTCATTGGCTGGAATGAACAGAGTTCCCTATGTCTGTGATCCTCCAGTCTGTTAGTAGAAATCACATGTGGAGATTTTACTTAAAAATTCTTTTAACATGTACAGGATACAGCATGGCAAAAACAAGACTTTGACTTCTAAATATTTGCCTCTAGGAGAGAAGTGAGGCCTCTACTTCAGTTTTCCAGACTTAGAGTTAGTTAGAAATTTAGAAGCTTCTCTTTGTGTTTTAAATTTTGACTTTTACATTTGTGTTAGCTCAAGCATAAAAGATTGTTCTTTGAAAGCTGGTCATCACTGTGCCCTAGAGCTGAAGAAAGTGGGGTGCTGTTCCAGCTCGACAGGCTTTTCCCTCAGCACTCCTGCATGCAGAGAATGATCAGGACAGAGGTTAATTTGCAGTTGGCTCCAGTTCAGTTGAAAACAGTGTTACAGAGAGTGATGGCTGACAAAAACCTTGGCAACTTTATTAAGCACTTGCCCAAGACCTCACACAAGCAAAATGCTGTATGGGTGCTTTCCTTAGATGACAGGGGATCAGACTAGCCGTCTTGTCTAATATCTGCCCCCAGAGCTTGACAGAGTGGGGAGGAACAAAGTGCTTGTCTAAAAAAAGGTCTAAAAGTAAATGTCCTAGGGTTGCACACAGCTTCAATACTTTCTGAAGCAATGAAAAAGATTCATAGATGTGCTTGGTCATGGCCTCTGTCTTTGCAGCACGCAGAAATCTCCAGCTAGGGAGAGGCCATGCAGCTCCCAGCCATGTATTCTGTGCCATCTGCCCGAAGTGGAGTTCCAGTGGTTTCTTAAGCACTGGGGACAACTAAAAGTACCCGAGAGGGTAGTGCATTCCCATAAGGGATATATGTATCTATAGGGAAAGGAGGGGAAATGGTTTGTAGAGGTAATCACTTACTGGAATAAGGAGAGGAAAAAAAAAAAAAAACAAGGGAGCTTCAGAGCAAAGCCTTTCAGTCTTGCTCTCTTGCTTACATAGAATCATAGAATCCTTAAGGTTGGACGGGACCTCCAGAGATCATCTAGTCCAACCCCTGCACACGCAGGGTCACCCAGAGCACGTGGCACTTACAGCAGAGCTCCTCAGGGCTTTCTTAGAGGAGCAGCTGCTTTTATAGCTCTTAGGGACTCACTGTCTCCAGATAACAACATTTATTTCCTATCCTTAGCAATCGTACATGAAATCACATGCAAAATTCTAAGATCTGAGAATAAGGAAGTATAGCGTATATAAGAGTTCCTGCTCTTGTGCAAACACTGTAGCATTGCAGTGAAACAAGATGAAGGGCACTTTCAAAATGCGGGTGTTAAAAATGTTTAATTATGAACATTAAGTTTGGCGGTTGAAAAATACAGAGGAAAAATACAGAGGAAAGAGTCATGGGCTTCCCCTTTTCTAAATGCTGTATTACCTATTCATAGGCTTCATAAATTACTCGGAGCAGCCAGTTACTGTGTTGCTGTTTTGTGGTGATTGTAGTTACCATTACTGTATGACAAATAAAGAACTGGAAAGATGACTTTCAAGAAGCTATGTGCTCTGATAAATCACTACAGGTAAAGAAGCTGCCCTGCCTGTTCCTGGTTCAATTTAGGAACTGTTAATACTGGAGACCAGCACAGGTGAAGGGCAGAAGCAAGCTGTGTATCCAGGCAGAAATGCACATTAAATGCAGATGCTTGGTTGGGACTTGACCATGACAGCACAAACATTCTGCTTCCTGTTTTGTAAAATAGAGAATTAATGAGCCAATAAATGACAGCGAACCGTCTGGTACTACTATTTATCATTATGTTCTGGATACATTCCCCTTTTCTTTCTTTCTTCAGAATAACATAATTTGGCTTGAGGAAATTGCTGAAATAAGTGGAATGGAATATACACGTGTACCCTTTCATATTAGACAATAGCATGCTTCTGTCCAATTTACTATAGTAATACTTTTTAATGCAACTCTACAATGATTTTGCTGTTAGACATAGTAAGAGTCCATCCCTCAGGTATCTTCTTGATTTTCCCCTTACCTTCAAGCAAGGAACATAAACTGGCCTATGGTTTCAGACTGCCGGGCGCCTCTGCATTAGGGTTGTCGCTCTGTCGTTCAAGAACAAGAGTCATTGCAACACATGTTACAATGTTCTTTCCTAAAATATTTCGTGGGAGCTTTTTGTCCTGTATGGTGGTCTAAATAGGAGCCACCATCAATCTAGACTTCTTGACATTACGAGACGTGTGTTTTTGTTGCTGAAGAAGCCTCCTTCTTTACTGAGCATTGAGTCAGTTTGCCCTAGACACTTCCTATAAAGGTACCAAGAAGCAGAACTAATAGCCCTTTGCTTAAGAGAGTATTAATCAACTTTAATTACTTCACCATTAGGCCAAGTTCTTTTCTTTTTGACGTACTCCATTTCATGCCTCAAACATAATTTTTTGTTCTATTTGCACCTTTTAGATTTTGTCAGATTCCATTCCTTCACTGCACGTTCCTTGAGATGCACAAATACGTCACGCTCAATTGTGAACCTCCTCTCTAAATCATCTCTGTGATGTTTCCCTCTGATAACTTCTGCTAGATACCATGTTGAAAATACAATTTTTCAAGCTGACAGCAGTGTGCAGTAGGCCTTGCACAAACAGTGTGAACTGAATTTTCAAAGTCTCTGGAGGAAAAAAACAAGGCATTGAAAATAAAAGTTTAGCATGGACAGTCTTAACAGGGATGAGTGATTTGTATTACTGTATTCTTCAGTACTAGAAAACCTGCTAAGAAATTAGTGTGAATCTCACTTCTTTCAATTTTGTCTTTGCAGAAGGAAAGGTTCTGGTAAAAAGGAGCCCAGAAGTTTATTGGAGAAGCTGCGCTGGGTGACCCTTGGTTACCATTATAATTGGGATACCAAGGTACTGAACTTCTTCTACAAGTGCTCAGAATGTCAGACAGAAGAAGATACCGTGGAATAAAGTGATAGTAAAATGCTTTTATGATCCTAAAAGACAGTCTTCAGGAAATGCTGGAGCAAGCTATGCTTGTAAGAATGTTTTAATCTGTATGAGTTTATTGTGAAGGATCTAACCTTCACCTAACGAAGTCCATGTTGTGTTCTTTCCTTTGAAAGGGACATGGTAGTACATACTTTGTCCTAGACCCATGACTCCATTACAGAATGACTGAGCACTTGTACCTTACCAAAAGAAATGGTCTCAAAAGCATCGTTAGCTAGTTAGGGTGGGAATGACCTTGAATAGTTGAAGAAAGCTACTTCAGAGAAACGCTGCTTCTCATTGGAGGGGTGAGGGACAGCAGGAAGACCCTGCTGCTGAGGTGACTTTGAACTTAGCGCCTGGGCTGTACAGCACAGTCTTAGTAACTGACAGCTCTTTGGGAGCTCCTGAATGTTGTGGAGACCAAATGGAATTTTTCATCACCTGGAGTCAGGTGGAGGCTGAGAGGAGGGCAGAGTGAGTATGCAGTGTATCAGTATGTGGCAGATATTTAGCCCAATTTTTTCAACCTTGTCTTTAGAGGGTCATCCTATTACTGGAAGGCCATAATAAAAACTGGGTTGCTCCCTTCTGCTCCTCTCAGTCAAAATCATTCAATGGAGAGATAAGTAGGTCTCCAGTTTATTCCTGTTTGCCGCATCCTTCAAAGAGGGAACAAAGACGCTTGGATCAGAGCTCTGAGGAGATCCAGAGCTCTACAGGGGCAGCTTGGAGTAGTGACAGCAGGTCCTGGCTGACAGGTTTGTGGTAGGCTGTATCAGGAACTCCATGAATATCATCCAACTACCACTATGAAATAAGGCTTTGGCAGTCTCAGAACAGGCACAAAATTAAATTGTATGGGCAAAACTTGCTGTAGTTGTGCATGGGATGTAATCATTCTCCAAGCAGATGTTTCCTTCTCTGTGATCATCAGCCAAACTTTTGAGTTTTCATTCACTGTGTTTCCAGTTGTGTTTGCTGTTCTGATATTCTGTCCTTTCTGTCTTTTTTTTTTTTTCCCTCTCTCCTTCCTGCAGAAGTACTCAGCAAATCACCACACTCCTTTCCCTTCAGACCTCGTGTTCCTGTCTGAACAAGTGGCTGCAGCATGTGGGTTCCGGGGTTTTCAAGCCCAGGCTGGGATCTTGAACTATTATCACTTTGATTCTTCTCTGGGAATTCACGTGGATGAGTCTGAATTAGACCATTCTCGGCCCCTTTTATCATTCAGGTGAGTCAGGGAAATTACTTGAGGGTTCTGATGGGCTTGGTGGCATTTTTTTGTGCTGTTGCATACGGTTATAGGAAGTTGGTATGACTAATTTTGTAAACTGGATGTATATTTTTTAGTCTCTGAATATAATAGGAAGTCTTTTAGTCTCTTGTATAATAGGAAGCTGGAACTTAAGGGCATAGGTTTATTTAAAAACAGTTTAAATAGCAGTGGATGTGACACTTCAATGGAAAAGACCTTTGCAGAGTTATAGTTCTGTTCTAAAGGAAGCAGAGTGGCAATTGGATATAAAGTGGCAAGGATGAAATACCTCAGCAGACCTGCAAACCTGGCACGAACCTGCTCATGCTAGGCCTGACTTAAGCCAGACTTATTAGTCTCTTTTGCATGCTCTTATAAAGTTGTAAGCAGGGGTCCATCTAGCTTTTCAAAATAAATTCAGCTGCTAACATGTTTATTTTGTACATATAATTAATTGTTCACTACCTTAGTTGACTTTCTGCTTTCACCCTCTCCAGTTTTGGGCAGTCGTCCATATTTTTGCTTGGGGGCCTGCGGCGGGGGGGGGGCCCCCCCGCCCTGTTCATGCACACGGGGGACATCATGGTGATGTCCGGCCTGAGCCGCCTGCTGTACCACGCGGTGCCCCGCGTGCTGCCCGGCCCCGGCGGGGCGGCCCTGCCCGCTTGCCTGGAACAAGCACAATCTTCCGACCTTCCCGCCGGCTCCGTCATCGAGCGCAGCTCGGAGGAGGACTGGCAGGTCTGCGCCAAGTACTTGCAGTCTTCACGCATTAATATGACTGTCAGGCAGGTGCTGTCTGACGGACAGAAATTTCCAGAGGAATCTGGGACAAATGGAAAAGGCCAGGCACCCACCAAAGATGGTCACCACCAGGAGAAGAGCAGAGCCAAGAGACACAAAACAGACAGCTGAGATGGGGACATCGTGCTCACGTGGCCTGGACTGCTGGCTTCTGCAGCTGGGAACTCACTAGTGCTCATAATAGACTGACTGTGTGGGGGTAAAGGAGCTTTGCAGAGTGCATCCCTTGTGGCTGTAAGAAAGAGGTGGTGGCAGTGGGAAAACAGAATTTAAAAGAAAAAGAGGGATTATTGCAGAACTGGGACTCAGATGAACTTGGTTGCAGTTCTGTTATAAATGTTTTCTAAACTCAGATTTCACTAAAATACTTGTATAGCAGAGAGTTTTAAGCTTGGTTTAGTGATGCTTACATTGTATTTTGAAATCGCTGGACAGAACATGGTAGTAAAAAAATGTAATTGCTATGTATTAAAGGAAACTGTGGGGCTTGTAAAGCTCAGTTGCAGTGTACTGATCATATACAAGTACAAATGGAAAGAGGCTGCCATGGACATGAAACCTACTTCCAGCACTTCCAAGAGAATCACTTCTCTGGCTAAAAGCTGTTCAGCGATCCCAGCCTAGCAGCTCCCTTGTGCCACAGCTGCATATGCCTGCTGCAGTCCTGCCTTTCCCTCTGCCTGGCTTGTACCCCCTCAGCTGCTACAGAGACTGATTTTATTAGTGCGACTGCACTTTCTTGCATACCTCAGATTCTAGAGATACTAGGGGCAAGATTTATTTAGACTACCTAGTAACTCCCAGTTGAGTGTCTATGAGAGACACAGCAGATCCCATGAGATTGGGCCCAACATCCCCATTACTTTAGAACTGCAACTGTTCAGTGCCTGTAGAGTATGGTCCTGCTTTTCCAGGCTGACATCTTTAAGGAACAGAATGGCTTAGAAGGAAAAAGAAAGAAATTGTAAATTACTTAAGTACCTAAAGTAGAAGTACCTAAAAAAGAAATTAATCCACGATTATCTCTACCACACAGAAGATAAATATATCAAAACAAAGAAAAAATGCTAGCTTTTGTGCCCATTCTGTTTAAGACTCAGGCTTTCCTATCTGTTTTTTAATGCATTTTAATTGTTAGAGTGGAATATTCTGTCCCTGGGGTATTTTGTCACACTTTCCCAATGAATAAACTTAACTCTCTTTTTAAATTAAAGATCTCTATCAGCTTGGGGCTTGTTTTGTTGTTCTTTTCATACCTGTTAGTTATTTTGCTGTTCCGTTAATGCTGCTGCTGTCCCTTGTGCTGTTTCCCTCTAGGCTTCTTCTGAATCTGCTGCCTCTGCCATCTGCTAGTGCTGGAGGAGGAGCCCTGCACTTACCCGCAGGGTGACCTTGCTTCTATGTTGTTCAGGGTGTGTTGAGCAGTTTCAGAAAGGTATTGCCTGCAGTATTGAATTCCAATTTAGTATGTACCTGGTGTCTTTTCCTCATGGGGGAAGTGCCTCGCGTGTTTGTTTCATAGCAGGTGAATATTTGAGTGTGTGTGTGCAGTTAATTCCATTTACAACACTGCAGTGAGCTCCAGGAAAATTAATGACTAAAATAATCAGATGTGGGTTTTCATACCTCATTCCCATGTTCTATGCCAGAATGATATTCCTATGTTATTTACAGCTGAGCCCTGTGAGAGTGAATACTGTTGTGGAGAGATATTACAATAAGACTGGACTAGAAGGGAATATTGACTGTTTGAGTAAGTATAGAAAGGAGCAAAGGTCCCTAGGGAAGACCTGAAAGGAGAAGAAGAATATCTGTTTTCTTAACCATGAGAAGGTAGACTTTACATTCTCAGCACACAGTGCAGCAGAAATCTGCCTACTCACTCACTGCTGCGGACTAGACAAGTCAGACATTCGTGGATAGGTGTTTGGGAGCCAAATGCATCTGGTTCCTTCACAATCTGCTGAGGTTTAAGTCTATCTGCTTTCTTTCTTAATGTCTTCACTTGCCTAGAAGCATCACAAATGTGAGACAATTATTTATTCCAACATTCAGTAGTTCCTGTGATTCAAGGACAAGAAAACCATACGGTGTAAACCTGTGCAGTTCAAAATTGCAGAAAATGGTGCAAGCTACTGATAGTTGTGAGGCCTGAGAAGGCTCCAATAGCTGTTGAAGTTGGATGCTTAGATGAGGGCTGAGCTGAGAATTTGCTGATTTACTGACTGCAATCAAGTTTGTTATCTAATGATATTTTGTGACTGTTATATGAATTATTTTCCAAAAAAAAAAAAAGTCCATGGTCCAGAAATGGCCACACAGAAATGACTGCAGAAAAACAAAACAAACAAAAAACACGTACAGAGACAAACAAGTAAAAGAGGGAAGAATTTCCTGGACAGGTAGTCTAACTGGAATATTGGTTCTACGACCATATTAGAGATGGAGAGCAGAGTACGAATGAGCAAACGGCAGGATTGGGCAGGCTCAGTGAACTGCACTTCTGGACCTTGATTTTGAAGAGGCAACAACAACCTCTGGGCTGAAAGCAAAGCCTCTGGGAAGAAATCAAGGATAACAGAGTAGATGGAGTGAGACTCTAGAATTCTACTAATTCTTCTGTGGTAAAGAATGATTGGGAACCATTGACCTAATCTCAACTGTTTTCAGGTTATGGCACTTGCATCAAATCTTTTCAGGTTTGCACTGACAAAAGATTTTTCATAGTCCTGATCAGGTTTTTGTATCTCTATGTACCACAAATACTTGTTTGTTCAGGTAGGTGTATGCTGAGATCATCTCTGTAGATTTTAATTCCTCTAAAGGAGAAGCACTGCCCAGAGACCACAAACATAAAGTTGCCTCAGTGCCATAGGAAGCAGTCTTCGGGATACCGCCCATGAGCAGCTGAGGAGGGGGGATGAAGAGGACATCCAAGCAATTCTCTGCAAGGAAGTTAATGTAATCAGCTGGTGCCAGGAAGATAATGCTGTGTTTGATTCAAGGCCACCTGGAAATGAAGCATGGTGCTTACAAGTACTCTGTTCTTTATGTGATGTATAGATAAATCTAATGCTCCAACAAATTGTAAACAATTACTGAGTTTTATATAATCCAGAGTAAAGGGAAAATCAAATCTTTAGGTAAAGCAGAATCAAAACACAGTATTGGAGGCAGAAGAGGAAAATATCTATATAAACTCATTTTCAGTCCTCCTGCGTGTAAAATGCTGGAGAAGTCGTGTTACAAACCGGACTGCCAACCAGCGCCCATGACACCCCCTGCATTGCAACCAGGAAGTAACTTACTGGCAAGGCAGGCCGTAGCGTTATGTATACTGCCTGAATTTTAATACTACCATAGCTACAAGCCCAGCTTGAAGCTGACTGCATCTTTAGTTCATAGTGCAAACAAGAACATGGATCTGTCTTCATCTATTCATGTAGGTGATTCCTATTCTCCACATTGCCCTTGAAGCTTGAGAGATTTAACATGGAAAAGAGATCTGGTGACAAGGTTTATGTCCCACTTAATCACAATGCAAGATTAACTGAGCTATAATCTAGTGTTTTCTAAATATGCTTTAGTTCTGATGAGATCATGAAAATTGTTCAAGTACAAACAAATTCCTCAAACTGTTAACAGAAGTACAAGAACTCCAGAAATTATTGGTTCAGAAAAATTAAGTCATTGAAGGTCTAACAAGAGGAGGTTTAGTAGATCTCTGTGCAAGAAGAGGCCTTAATAGAAAATCAAAGGGATAAAGACAAGAGTGGAGAATTGAAAATAATGCCCATCCTAGAATAAGGCTCTAGTTCACAGGTTTCTTGAATGCCTGGACTAGTGACAGTCCACCACATCTGCTGATGCCTCTGAACATCCTAATATCAAATCTTGTTGAAAACAGCCTACAGCATGACCTGCTACAGGTCAGCTACAGATCCAGCATAGGAGGCACAGCATGTTGCTGACACGAGTTTAGCAAGGTCCAAAATATGTTCAGCTATTTCTATTGAGCAAATAATAGTCAAAAGCCTATTTTATGCCTTGAATGCAGATTTTGTCTGGACTTTTCCAGCAGATCCTGCTCTGAGGTGTTTTGATCCTGGGGTACTTCTAGAGAGAGGAACACTCTGCAATATCAGAATAATTTAGTCTCCCCCTCCGGTTCCTGCTATTTTATGTGTGCGTCCATTTTAGGAGGATTTGAGCATGCACAGAGTTCCCAATCAGGTTAATCTGCTAAATGTTTATCTCCCCGAGACAAGTAAGTGTCTAGAGAATGGCAGGCAGCCAGATCTGATTTTGATTCACAGGCCTTGTGCTCAGGTAGGCGTTACAGCAGGTAGCTGCCACTTGCACTGCCCAGGGCGATGAGGAGGGAGGGAGTAATGTCTGCCACAGCTTTTCCTCTTTGCAGGAGAGAAGCTTCTTCCTCTGGTTAGTACAGATTCTAACCTTGTGAAGGCATCTCCCATCTCAGCTTCCTAGAGGAAGTCAGAGGGTACTACCTCTCTATGACCCTGTCCTGGGTTGTTACTGTTGAGCATCTTCTTTCTCAAAATTCCTGTGTGTAGTAGATACTTCCCAATCTAATGTTTGGGAGGTCCTCCTTTCAGCCATTCCCTTTCTGTGCCTGTCCTGTTTGTTAGCACCAGTGTGAAATGAACTGAATGGCCTTAAGGCTGAGTCCTCCATTACCATCACTCAGAGCTCAGTGCTGCTGGCTGAGCGGGATGGGGGCCATGTGCCCACAACTCAGCTCTTTTAATCTCTTTCATGCTCAGATCCCAAAGCATTTCCAAAATGTAGGTCAGGACCACTAGCCTCTTGAAAGCAAGGAGTAATGCCCATTTATAGCAAAAGGTGTGAGAAACTAAATTAGAGGTAATGTGAGGCAAAATGAAACATATTCTTGCACATTTTTGTTGAAACTACATATATAGAGCAAGAAGACTCAAAGACATACTGCTTTTTTACTCCCTAGCGTTGAGAAGTCAGCTTTTTACGCTAGCTTTTAGCTTCCTTCTAGGTGAATTTAAAACTCTAATTCTGCATTTACTGAGGAAGACCAGAAGAATCAATAAAGGCCTTCGCTTTCTGGAGCTGAT